TGAAGAATAAAGCAAGTATGGAATAAGGGAAAAACATTCGGCAACATCAGAAGCAGAAGCGTCGCGATCTGGCAACATTGAAACAAGTTTCGAGAAGGACCATGTGTATCGACAGAAGGCGAGAAGAGAAAATTCACATACTTAAATACTAATAGTTCACGAAAATAATAATTTTCGTGAACTATTATTACTTAAGTATGTAAAAATTTATTACATTTCCTTTTGTACGAGGGTTTTACCCAATTCTCGAACCGTGTTAGAGCGAATCCGTGCTATAGAAGTGCCGTGTTATACGGGGGTTACCTGTACAACCAAGTGTGTGAAATTTAGTAACAAGCTAAAAAGAATTCTTTAAAAAATTAATATCAAATCTTACCACTATTGAGCTCTTGGCGCTGCAAGCAACAAATATTCTATACGAGCCAGACATTCATGCAATACAGAAACGGTAATATATTTGTTTAATATGTGTCCATTCTGAAGACGTAAAACTTAAAGGAGATGAATAATGTGTTTAATGGCCGAGCGTAATTTATCTGCGATGTATGACCGACATGAGTACTATATGTGAAAAACTTAAAATATGACAATAATCGCTGTAGTATATTCAAAATTAAAGTAAGTGTTCCTAGACGTTGCCTTACATTTCTAAAACTGTTATTTGTTTCTTTTTTCCGGTTTGTCATGTTTGCAAATAGTAAACAAATACATTATGTAAGTATGTACAGATGTATTTCATGAATCTAGGCCACGTGTAGTATCACGGCCATACATGTTTTTCGTTACGGACCAATAGACATCATCCCATACGGATCTCTCCTAAATAGTTTAAACAGTTTACTAAAGCTTATGTAATCGATTTAGCATTATATCAGGGAATCATATTACAAAAATAAAAATACATTTTTATCTATTTATAAAAAATAAATTGTCGAATTCTTTTACCTGTCAACAATATATAACAACAGTGACATTAAGATGGAAAGTTGCAACAACCCACTGATGAACCATATTACGTCGAAAAACTCCTAAAATTTTTTATAAAACAGAAAAATTAAAAACTGATAAAACTACTAATATTTCATTCTATTTATATNAGAAAATTCACATACTTAAGTACTAATAGTTCACGAAAATAATAATTTTCGTGAACTATTATTACTTAAGTATGTAAAAATTTATTACATTTCCTTTTGTACGAGGGTTTTACCCAATTCTCGAACCGTGTTAGAGCGAATCCGTGCTATAGAAGTGCCGTGTTATACGGGGGTTACCTGTACAACCAAGTGTGTGAAATTTAGTAACAAGCTAAAAAGAATTCTTTAAAAAATTAATATCAAATCTTACCACTATTGAGCTCTTGGCGCTGCAAGCAACAAATATTCTATACGAGCCAGACATTCATGCAATACAGAAACGGTAATATATTTGTTTAATATGTGTCCATTCTGAAGACGTAAAACTTAAAGGAGATGAATAATGTGTTTAATGGCCGAGCGTAATTTATCTGCGATGTATGACTGACATGAGTACTATATGTGAAAAACTTAAAATATGACAATAATCGCTGTAGTATATTCAAAATTAAAGTAAGTGTTCCTAGACGTTGCCTTACATTTCTAAAACTGTTATTTGTTTCTTTTTTCCGGTTTGTCATGTTTGCAAATAGTAAACAAATACATTATGTAAGTATGTACAGATGTATTTCATGAATCTAGGCCACGTGTAGTATCACGGCCATATATGTCTTTTCGTTACGGACCAATAGACATCATCCCATACGGATCTCTCCTAAATAGTTTAAACAGTTTACTAAAGCTTATGTAATCGATTTAGCATTATATCAGGGAATCATATTACAAAAATAAAAATACATTTTTATCTATTTATAAAAAATAAATTGTCGAATTCTTTTACCTGTCAACAATATATAACAACAGTGACATTAAGATGGAAAGTTGCAACAACCCACTGATGAACCATATTACGTCGAAAAACTCCTAAAATTTTTTATAAAACAGAAAAATTAAAAACTGATAAAACTACTAATATTTCATTCTATTTATATATGAATGTATCATACACACAAATACAAGTAATTTCCATAAATACATTAAAATAGACTTGCACAAATAACAAAAGTTCACATTGACGTATTTTTATTTTATAAACTCCCATTTATTCTGCAGCGCTAAATATTTTCACTATATTTAAATAAAAACTTTTCTTTAATAAAATTTTCCATTTATACGTCTCACATTTTACTTTTTTACCTTTATAAAAATAGTAATAATCTATACAAAGAGATGTAATAGATTTCGGATGTTATTTAGTTTTCTGCACATTACAATGTAATATAATTAATAAAAACCCAATAAATTCCCTTTTTGAACCAATTACGAGAGAATTTTTCTAAACAAATCACTATGTAACCATTAAACTAACTAACGGTCTTGGTATCTGTTTTCTGCGACGTGTAAACTGTGCTTATTTCATTAACGTGTCTTTGTTAAGACACAGGAATTGCAGAAGTGACAGCAACCTTTACTAGAGATACGCTGGTTTTGATCTACAGTACTATTGATTATCGATAAATTCTAATAATAATTTGTTAAAAGGATTTCGTAAAGAATGTTTTTATTTATAAAAAAACTTTTAAAAATTTAGTAAAATGTAACGATTTGAAGTGTAAGTTTAGACATTTTTCGTATCACTCGAAAACTACATTTATTGGTCTACTGAATTTTCTCACTGATAAAAGTTGCAAAATTTATAGCCAGTGTTGTTTCTTTTAAGAAACAATTGACCTTTCGAATAGTCAAATAGAAAACGTCTTAAACAATACATAGTTATACAACCGTTTAAAGTGAAGAAACGTTCACACACACTTCAGATTTCCTTAGATGTTACACATTAGAAACATTTGTGGCTTAACGATAAATTGCATATATCTAATACATTGGTTTATTCAAAACAATTTGAGTGAATGCAAATTTTTACGTGATCATTGATAATATCTAAAACTTAAATCAAAATCTGAATTTTAACTTTTATACATTTACCGTCGATCCACCGATTGAGTAAATATGAACATGAGTGATATATTTCCACCATTCTCTTTCTGTGTATTTTGCCTGACTAATAATAATATCCCAATGAGGACCTTCTCCAAGAAGAGGCAGAAGAATTACGAAGCCCAAAGCGAAGAATATCGGAAGTGTGTATCTGCAACACGAACAAAATATAATACACGAACCAATGACAATAAGAGTTAAATATTTTACCTGATAACTCGCTTGACTAAAAACATGATATAGTATTTCGCAGAGTTTCGTCCAGTTTTTTGTCTCAGATACATTACCATAAACCCGCTAGCCAAAAAATATTATTCGTTATTAATTTTAAACACAAAAGTATTTTTGCCAAAAATCTATAAATGTTACTATTATTAATATGATAGAGAATGTAAATGTTCTTCGAAAATTGTATTTATATGTAACGATTAAATTAAAATGATCTTACCTGTAAAAGAAGAATGATTCCATCATAGTGAGGCCTTGGAGAATAATTTCGAATAAAAGAAGATCCACACTCTTGAAGATGTTAGTATATTTATCTTTAAAATATAAGTATTGTTATTTTTATAAAAAATACATAAATATAAAAAATATTTTGTATCAAGTATGAGTTTTATAAATCGAACAAATAAAATAGCCGGCCTCGTCCGCACATATTTTGCAATTTGATAGAAATTTTATACAAAAACTAACGGAATTGCACAGGATTAGGTAAATACGAGTGGATTTTTAGTCGATTGCTTCGAGTTTCTCAAAATTAAATTAAAACAGAATAACTGAATAAATGCATCATTCGATACTCGAATATATTCGGTTATCCTTCGTAATTCTGAATAAATAATAACTTAAAACTAAGTTTAATTAATTAATTGCTCTACATATTTTCAAATAACGCAATTTCAATTTTCCTAGTGAATCATTCTCCTTTCAGCAATCCAAAATGTTTAGCCTACAAGTTAATGGAGTGTCACTCATGATTTCGTTTTGCAATTTTTTTTAATACAAGACAGAATTCGTATAAAAACGAATAATTTGTTTCGTTTTAAGAGTACATTTTCCTTTCTTATTACAGATTTTTTCATATAATTTTTGAACATTTGTCTCACTTTTTAATGTTTCGAGCCGTCCTGTTGTACTTCTGATCAAAGTTTCACCGGAAACTTCCTTACATTACATATTCTTTTGTATTGTGCAAATAGTGATTTCCATCTATATGATACACAAAAAAATAAAGTCTTTCAGTGGTAATTTGCTATTAGTAATTCATTGCTCTTATTTTTTCAAATTTTAACCGTCCTTTTACATTCATTAATAATCAGCTTTAGCCGAGCGAATTATTAATTTTCTGCATCAAGAATACGATTGCTTTTCTGCCAGAAATAAGCAGTGTAAATTTTTTTCAATTATCATAATTTAAGTGGAGAACTTTTTGAGTAAGGAAATTTTGTCTTTGTATTCAGCTAAAAAAAGTGTTTTGGAGAGAGTAGCGAAGACCCGAAGAAATAACTTAGATTGTGTATTTTCAAACGATTAATATAAATTTCTACTCTAATTCGTTATTAAATTTAATATAAAAGATTGTACCAATACCTTTTTTTCGGGACACGCCGTTAACAGTATTCGGTATTGTAGTTTTTCATGTGCTTCAGCTGAACACATGTCGTTTTTTTGAATATTAAATTTTAGTCTGTATCTTAGTTTCATCAGTACAGTAGACCCCTATAACATGGGTTCCTATAATTACGATTCTTATAAGACGGCGAAAAAATTGCGACGGTATCCCTTCAAACCTGGTAAAAAACTCCTATAATTCGGAAAAACGTCATCGGGCAGCCGAACTACTATCTGCCGTCTAACGCCACGCTACGGAGAATTTAGGCGGGTAAATTGAGTTTACTATCGTCTGTACAGTATTATATATAAATTAGGTACTGTACGTATAATTATATATTAACTTAATTTATTGTAACTTTATTATAATTATATATATGCTTTCCGCCGCCTGGCGCTACGCTACGGAGAGTTTAGGTGAACTATCGTCTGTACAGTATGTAAATTATGTACTGTAAGTCTAATACAGTACTGTAATTTTATACATTTCTTGTGAAAGAAACATTTCTTATTCAACGGCGATAAAAATTATTTATATTAATGATGTCTCCAAAGTTCAACGAAGTTTTCGCAGAAAAATAACATAAGAAATCGCGGCCGCAGTTTGGTGCGCTGGTCCGCGACGAAAACAAGCTTAAGCAATGGCGACGTCGAACGGTGCACACTCGGTAAGTAATCCTACAATTTTTTGTTTATAGCATAGTTTATACGGATTATTCCCAAAAAATATATACGTATTTTGGAAATGTTGAGTCGGATTAGTCTAGAATCGATTAATTTTATGGAAGAAAACCTTTCAAACAGCGGTAGTCCGTAAACTTCACACGTGTCGGGCTGTGATTGGCAAGGACTCGTATAAAATTGATTCATAAAGAACGAAACGTATCTATGATCTTATAGGGGGGTCGGCTGTATACAAATTAAAACATGTAGTATACAAGTCGTTTTGCTCTCTTCGCTCGAACAAAGTTTTTCATTTATGTTTTTACACTCTGTCGCTGAGTTTAGCAAAGTTATTTCAGAAATTAACATATGCGTATCACCAATACGGAAACACTATGCAAGTATTTGAAGATTAACTTAACAAAAAAATAGGAGATACAACCATTTTGCGTGCCCATTTCGTGGAATTATTTGCGGCCGAAGTCGTATTAAATTAATTTTTTCTGTTTGTCTTCTTTTTCTTCTCCGTTTTTTTTTTCACTGCGGAGATGCGGTGCTATTGCTGTACAAAAATGAACTATTTTTCTGTTAGGTAATATGATTCGATCATTTGCGGCATCTATACTAATTTCTTCAGACTCAAGAATATCTCTTCCGAAAAGTCCCTGACATGGATGGGTAATCTGGGATCTAACTATTTTACATGTATGGGCAAATTTGTACCCTCTTAATTTGAAATTAGGTATAACTACACTTATTGTTTTTATTTTCCGCTTGCTTATGCTATTAATTCTGCTTTTGACACCAAATTTTACATGTGCCTTCTCTCTTAATTTATTGGCTAACTCATGTGGTATGATTGTATGTTCTAGGCCGGGATCGACCTGAAACTTCGCAGAAATATTACCCCAGAATAATGGGTTTTCCTTGGGTTCGTATGAGTCCCATCTTTCCTATAAATTTAGAATGGAGACTTTCCTAATTTCCTCTTAAGTCTGCTTTTCGCTTTATCGGCGGGCATCTATCTGCTTGATAATCCGTGTCTCTACCTGTCCGCGGTCGTTTTAGGGGTAGACCGATGTATCTATCTGATTTATTATTTGGACTATTATATTCTCTGCTTAGCTCGTATATTCGGGCCTTAATCTCTCTTATCTCTTTTGTCAACCTCTCCCATAGTTCCGGTGGGGAGTTCCGTTACGGTTCTTATGATTCCGCGAGGTTGGTTAGTAATGGTTTCAATTGATTCCTCATTAATTGCTACCTTTAATGCCTCATTGAAAGTATCTGGTTCTCTGGACATGACTCTCTGTTTAATCTTTATATCCAGACAGTTCAAAAATTGTACCTGTAAGCGTTCGTCTAACTCCCGTTCCTGTATTCTTTTAATTATAGTTATTTCTGCCTCATTCGCTTCAACATGCTCAATCTCTGTTTCTGTCGCAAGGGATTGTAACTGCACAGCAAACGTTTGGACGTCTTTCCCACGTTGCTGGACACATCCGTAAAATTTTTTGTAATTTAAACAGATAGGACTCTCTCTCAAAGCATTCAACCAGCACTTTTTTGAAAGTGTCAAAATCCTCTACATCTTTTATGCACCTGTCCTTCCAAACAAACTCTTGCGCAATTCCTGCGAGCTTAAGCTTAGCGACTGCCAGTGTCTGCGCTTTTGACCAAGCTGCAAGTTTAGCAACATCACTTAAGGAATCAAAGAATTAATTTATTCTCTCCTCGGAATTTCCTGAGAAGAAGAGTAAAAGGGAACAAAACTGACTACACCACCTAAGGTGGCTTGACGATTTTCTGCTTTCATTTTATTTTAAACTACAGGGGTGCCTCGTATAATGTATGCCTTGAACAACAGACACTGCGAATAACGGACTTTCCGTTCGGCAGTTACGTGAGGCGACCAATGGACTTTCTACGAACAAGTGCGAATGATGTTTCCACTCTTTTACCGTTGCCAATGACAATCTGCTATTTTTATAATATATTAGTATTATTAGAATATATTATCAGTATATCTGAAGTACAGAGCGTTGGGATTAGGCTTTCTTCCTTGTTTATTAGGTATATCAACACAGTGCAGGGTATTAACATTTATTCAAGTGTTGTGCAAATCATGGCTTCTAAAAAAAAACAGAAAAGTGATTTCAAGTGAAACAATGCAAGAAATCATAAGAAGGAGTGAAAGTTGACAAAAACTTCCTTGTCGTATGGGGAGAGGTTCAAGAGTTTACCAACACTCATTATCCAAACAGAGCTGAGGCCAACAGTATCGATGATTTCTACAATGACACCCTTGCCCGTCATTTCTGACAGGTGTTGAAGAAGAGAGAGAAACAGACCACCATGGACATGTTTTTTCAAGAAGCCAGCAGGCTTCCTGAAAAAACAAAGGATGGAACAAGAGGAGTTGACCCTGCAAGCTCCGGTAGCCTCTCCTGAATCTGAATCTGATTAAAAAATATAAAAAAGACCTGCTGCAATGTGTAAAAAGTCTGTATCTGTATGAATGTGTGAAGAAAGTGTTCCTCCACCTCCTCCTCAGAACATGTGACTATCCGGCATAATTGGTGACTGCTCCATTTTCATTTTTTATGGTACAGTATGGTTATTTTATGCTGCAGAACGAATTGTATGTTTTAACATGTATTTCTATGGGAAAATGCGTTTCGTATAACGGACTATTCACTTAAGGGACGTGCACCTGGAACATATTAAGTACGTTATACGAGGCACCACTGTACCTACAATTAACTTATGTTCTATCTATCTGACCTATTAATACGTTGATATATGACAAAACCTGTCTAAGGCAGCCAACCTGGGTTTCACGGACAACCTGTTTTGGAAGGACACCTGTCGTAAGCCTGTAAGTTGGCTTTATCCCATTCCTGACACCACTTTGTGAGAACCAAAAGGGTTAGTTGTCCCCGCTTAACGGGGCTCTGTCACAGGACAGTTTTATAGGAAGTCCAAATGCAATGAGTGGGGAGATCAATGGATAAATTGACAAGTTCCCAAATAAATACATAGGTTGAACAAGAATAACACATTTAATAAACAACTATAAAATTCTACATATCAAACATGAAGGTGAAGAGCTACAAAAATTCTATTCTATGTCGCAATAATGATTCGTCTTTCATATGGAACATCTAATCTCTATTCTCTAAGTTAAATTAAGAGACGAGAGGGAGACCTCTTGGAGAGAGACTTTGCAGAAGGAGAGTATACAAATAGATATCCAAAAAGAAAATACCTCTAAGTTCCCGAACCGTGATACGGGTCGTTGGTAATAACGTTCCTGGATCGTCACGGCAGTTATGGCGAGGTAGCGATGGTTAGGGTGGTGGTATGGGTCAGTAGATGTGGCAGTCGATGTTCATCTTGGAAATGTCTGCCTTGTGAATGTCCGCCCTGTGGACTGCATCCAAACCCTCTTTATACTCTTTTTGCAAGGGTGAGAACTAAGACATCATTCATGATCTATACACACACCTGTTCGTGTGTTGATGTCTGGATATAGCTAGTACAGACCACTGGCACAGAGAGGTTTGTTTAATTTATTGATATGTTTATAGAAGGTATGATTTTATAATATAAATTTCTATAGGTTTGACGGCTCTCATCCATAAATAAACATTCATCTGACAATAATTTCTTTAACCTGGTCACTATCTAGATATTGTTTATATAAAACGTCGCATTTGATTACGAATGAGGGGATTTATTGTTGTGACCACGTGTTACCTGCAACCAAAGAGGGGTTAAAAAAACATCTTTTATTTTCTTCTTGTTGATATTAACGTCTATAGAATTACCTTTAAACAAATGGAGAAGATTTCTTTTATTGATAGACTAACGATTTTTTTTGAGGAGATCGTTTCGGTCATCGACAGCAGAAGTCTTCTTTTTTCTTTACACCTAATTACGAGGTTTATTAGAGGGGTGATACTATTCTAAAACAAAAGGGTTTTGGACCTTCACATGCAGCACTTTGAAATTCTGACGGCAAACTGTCTCTGAAGAGAGTAATTTACTTGCTACTGAATTTTTACTAGTTACATGACCACAGCCACAGGCCGAGTAAAGTAGCATCAGTTGTATTGTTCCATTATAGAGTTTTACAAGCTTTATGATTTAGTCCCAGGTGTGCCTAGCACATTTTAGCAGCAATTGTAGTTAATTCTCTTGGCCATAGCCAAGATGTAATTAATATGGCAACAGAATGTGGTTTTTATTCTCTCTTGTTTTATGTGGTATGTCGTTTCTGTTTACACGTGCACTATCTAGTGGATCTGGCAAAGAGTTTTTGTGTTTTTGTGAAAATTAAAATTAATATAAAAATGAAGATTATGACATTGATTAATGATANAGTACAGACCACTGGCACAGAGAGGTTTGTTTAATTTATTGATATGTTTATAGAAGGTATGATTTTATAATATAAATTTCTATAGGTTTGACGGCTCTCATCCATAAATTAACATTCATCTGACAATAATTTCTTTAACCTGGTCAACTATCTAGATATCTAGAAGCAACCTTGATTCAAGTATCTAGATATTGTTTATATAAAACGTTGCGTTTGACTACGAACGAGGCGATTTATTGCTGTGACCACGTGTCACCTGCAACCAAAGAGGGGTTAAAAAAAACATCTCTTATTCCCTTCTTGTTGATATTAACGTCTATAGAATTAACTTTAAACAAATGGAGAAGATTTCTTTTATTGATATACTAACGATTTTTTTTTGACGAGATCGTCTCGGTCATCGACAGCAGAAGTCTTCTTTTTTCTTTACACCTAATTACAAGGTTTATTAGAGGGGTGATACTATTCTAAAACAAAAGGGTTTTGGACCCTCACATGCAGCACTTTGAAATTCTGATGGCAAACTGTCTTTGAAAAGAGTAATTTACTTGCTACTGAATTTTTACTAGTTACACGACCACAGCCACAGGCCGAGTAAAGTAGCATCAGTTGTATTGTTCCATTATAGAGTTTTACAAGCTTTATGATTTAGTCTCCAGGTGTGCCTAGCACATTTCAGCAGCAATTGTAGTTAATTCTCTTGGCCATAGCCAAGATGTAATTAATATGGCAACGGAATGTGGTTTTCATTCTCTCTTGTTTTATGTGGTATGTCGTTTCTTTTTACACGTGCACTATCTAGTGAATCTGGCAAAGTTTTTTTGCGTTTTTTGTGAAAATTAAAATTAATATAAAAATGAAGATTATGACATGATACATGGTTCGATGCCTCTTTTATATAACCAATTTCAGCTTCTCCACAACTCAAACCTGTATAATCTTTATGCATAGCAGGCACATATTTAATTATGTATGCTTCACCTACTCTCAAAATTATCTGTAAAACATTTTTTCTTAAATTTAATTTTTGGTTTTTAATATATACAAACATTTGTAAAGTTAATCACATTGTCAAAACCATAAAAAAATTAATAATTATTAGTTAATTAAAATTTAAATAAACATTGCTTACTGAAAGAGGAAAGTATTTTTGTGGTTCAAAATATCTTCCAACATGAATATTTTTATTATAATTCCCAAAATCTGCCTGTAAAGCATAAGCTGCTAAGAGAAATGCTCTCTCTTCATTTATGCTTTGGTTGTACTTAATGACATTTTCACGCAATTGAAGATAGTAATAATGCCTTGCTATTTTATCACTAATTAAAAAATAAACTTTGTTTATATTTTTCTACATCAATATAGTTTTAAACTTTAGTTTGAATACAAATAATATTTCAAATTCAACAATATACTTACTTTACTAGTAAATGACAATCAACGTATATTTCTATACGAAAATGAAAAGTCAAGATATTTTTTCTATTATCAATTCCCTAAATAATAAATAAAGTTAAAATTAGATACGTTAATAATATGTTTAAAATTGGTCAAACTTCAAAATGGTATTTACATTATTACGAAGTACTTTCCACCACTTTGGTGCATACTTCGATAACTTCTGTTCTGGATCAATAAACTGATATATACCATCTGCAATATTTATTATCACTTATTAAATTTTTCTTATTATTTTACTTATCAAACTTATAAAATACTGTTTAATTACATTATCAATTTACATATACAATATATAATCTATTTTGTAATTTCTGATCTGTACCAAGATTTGTCATGATAGAGGCTAGAGAGCTANAAAGACTTACGTTTACTCGCCTTCAAAGGAATAATATGAAGTCTCATTAATATTTCTGTTAACGTTGCCAATCCTACCCATGCAATGAATATGCCGAGAACAATTCTAAATGAAGGCAATTAATATTTTATTTTCACATCAATTTACTAAAATATAAATTTATATCATTTAATTAACAATAGCTTAAGTAACTTTTTCATTATGTGTACGTAATAATTTAAAAGTTATATTAAAATTGCATTATTTAGAAATGTGTTAAATACTTGCTTAATGAAGACTTTTTACTTGTGAAGCTTCAAACTTTAGTTTAGTTTCGTTTATAGGTAGAGAGCTGTTGTGAGACGTAGCCCATATAGGAAAATAAAGAAAGAAGAAAAGGAGGGAGTAAAGAAATGAAAGTTTAAAGCTTGGCAGGATGAGGAAAAATAAGATAATTGACCCGCATCACAATAATAAAAAATAATCCAGATACAATTATACAGTACAGAGTGCCATTTTGGCTGATGGACAGTTATATATACAGAGATCGCATTGTTGATCCATATACAACAATATATCACAGTAAAATTTAATAGCAGGGTGACTTGCGGCTTGGTGGCTAGTGACGACGTTGTTGACCTAGTAGTTCGTCGTTGGCGAGTTGTTGCTTAAAGAGAGTAGGCCTCGGAAAATGTGCAGTGTGGTTTCAAGCTCCGACTCGCTATCAAAATTTGTCTCACAGAAGTTCTAGATCTAAATCACCAAAAATCATTAAACAATTCCTATTTAAAGATACACAATGATGAGGATAGACAAACATTTAAGTCTTATCGGTGTCGAACTTTGACATTTATCTTTTCGTAGTTATGAGCTGATACCGAATTTTCCTTGAAAACAACAACGAGTTGAGATGACTAACAAAAAAAAAAAAAAACCCACGTGATAATAGGACAAATTGCATTTTGATATCCCAATTCCTTCTTCAGCAGATATCTCTTCCACAATTCCTATTAAACTATTATCAAAATATGTTGTCTCTTGTACGTAAGTGTTCTCGAAGGTCTCATCGATTCATTAAGTATCTCTCGCAACTCTTTCAGCAGATTATTCCGTACGTGTGCCGCCTTCCCTCTTGGAACACTTCAATCGATCCGTCGTGTCCAGAAATGTTCTACTCAGGTTTTCCCGATGAACTTATATTCTAAAGAATGATGAATCTTAATATACAAAACGCCATTATCCGCTATACTGTACTTCGAAAACCGGAGGAAAACTCGCTATTATTTGTTTTTATTACTAGATATATTCTGTAATTGTTTTAATTAATTTAAATCTATTTTTGTACTTTTTAAATATGCATAGTGACTTCACATATTTAAAATCAATATTTATATATCATAATAAAGTTGGATATTTATTAACTCTTTGTTTTAAAAATTATGTAAACATTTATAACCAAATCGGAAATTCGGTGTTGCGTCGAATTTAACAATAACATCGATGATTTCAGGGAATCAACGACAGCCAAATATGTAGTAACGGTAAATAATTCTAGGAAATCGATTACAGCGATATTAGAACAGTTGTAATGCGATCAAAACTGTATTGTTATATCTATTTTAGAATTTTGTTTTAACCTCAACGATAATCTGTGTTGCACCCGTGTCGAGGTGTGCGATTTTCGATTATCACGCTTTTTGGCACAATTTAGCCAAGAGATTTTACACACAAAAATATTCGTATGTTTATTTCTGAAACAATTTGTAACTATTTGCGAATTAGTATTATACGAGTGTTCTAGTCGAAAAATCAATCGACTAATTGCAGCAACGGGAACATTTGTCACAAATACCATCTAAGAGATTTTTACCTTCAATCAATGGCTTAGCAACAAATACAATATTTTATGCAGAATAAACAAGAAGAATTTAATAATTTCACGAAAGAATTTCTTCTAAATACGACCATATTAATATGTTGCACTGGCAAAAATTACTCTAATTTTTTTCAATTTTGTTATGTGTAAAGTCTAATGTGTCAGTTGTTATGTGACTTTTTCTAAGTATATTTTACGGTATCATACAAGACAGTTCCGAGTCAAGTAAAAAAAGATTCAATTGAAACAACAGACAGTAAATTATCGCTTATTTTACTCAGCAATTATATACAAAATATAAAGGAATACAGGAAACCAACAATAATAAAATAAAATTCAACGTTAAAATATTAAACACAAGTTTGCATAGATCTGGATGCAAACAGGAAAGAAGAGCTACAAGACGTCTGAGAATCCTAATNCAGCAATTATATACAAAATGTAAAGGAATACTGGAAACCAACAGTAATAAAATAAAACTCAACGGTAAAATATTAAAAACAATACGTTTGCATAGATCTGGATGCAAAGAAGAGCTACAAGACGTTTTGAGAAACCTAATGATGCTCTAAAAACCAAATTCAACCGGAAAATAATGATTTGTTTAAGATGAAATCGAAATAAATGCTAAAATAACACTGAAGAATAGACAATTAGACAGTGTGAACGAACAACTGACGGAAGGTTTGAGAAATATGGGAAGTCGGGAATTGCACAGTGAAAGAAGCCGTTATAAAAAGTGAAAAAGATGCTAATGTCAGGAACATGAATGTGAATGTAACAAGAAAGCTCATACAATGTTTGGAAAGTGACCTTGTTTGAATAGGAAATTTCATANACGGAAGGTTTGAGAAATATGGGAAGTCGGGAATTGCACAGTGAAAGAAGCCATTATAAAAAGTAAAAAAGATGCTAATGTCAGGAACATGAATGTGAATGTAACAAGAAAGCTCATACAATGTTTGGAAAGTGACCTTGTTTGAATAGGAAATTTCATAATTTTGAACTAATTAAAGTAACATTTAAAGATTATATAAAATTTCTTTTTAAAACAGGAGAAAAAATTATACCAAACTACTCGTATTTACAATGTGCTCGAAAAGAATGTGAAAGACTTTTTGGGCTAAAAGAATAGAAAAAAAAAGAGTTTAGAGGTCGAACTATAACTGAATATTGTGTTGTAATAAAAGGCAAGACACATTACATTATTCTGTTNGAGAAAAAATTATACCAAACTACTCGTATTTACAATGTGCTCGAAAAGAATGTGAAAGACTTTTCGGGCTAAAAGAATAGAAAAAAAAAGAGTTTAGAGGTCGAACTATAACTGAATATTGTGTTGTAATAAAAGGCAAGACACATTACATTATTCTGTTCACCTATTGTATGAATAAAGAGAAAAGAAGTAGAAGTAGAAACAGTTGATGATATAAACTAAAGTACTTAAAGCACAGAAATCAAAATAAACGATGCGCATTCAAATAGAAAAAAAATTTCTCTTTAATATCATGTAATGTGCTTTAGAATAAAATAGATTCGATTGGCTATTTTCGTTGTTAAATTTATTTTTGTCGTAAGATAATTCATTAAAATGGACTTTAATCAATTTATTCTTGCGTTTTTCACAAACAATTTTTTTTATTTATTTATATTTTCTATTGCATCGTTAATTTGCCTTAAGGAATTTCAAGTTATTTTCATACTTTTGATGTTTTTAATTTAATATACAGTAGAGCGTCGATTTTCCGAAAGTCAATCATCCGAAACGTCAATCTTCTGAAAGAATTCCAGTCAGCAAATTTAAATTTTCGCCAGTGCTGTGGCGCTTCAATCTTTGGCTATGTCTTGGGCTACTCAAATATTTTACGTTTTTGACATCAAATTAACTTGTGAAGTATAATTTTTTATTGTTTTTATATTTTTCAATTTATTTTTGTTTGTACAAAATAAAAAAAAAATAATTTTTAACGATACAATAGTCTTCGTTAGGCTTAACATCGACGAAAATTCAACGCGAAGCGACACGCAACGGAGAAAAAT